AAAAAAAAAAAAAAACTTAATCATTTACTAAGCTCTGACACTGTGGTGTCCTGGCAAATACTTTAGGTTAGGCTTCAGAAAAGCCAGGTAGTTTGTAATTGGCTGTTAACCTGAAAGTTGGTGGTTTCAACATGCCTAGTGCCTCCAATGAAGAAAGGCCTGATGAACTGCTTCCAAAAAGATTACAGCCAAGAAAAGCCTTTAGACCAGTTCTACCCTCACACATGACGTCACCAGGCGTCAGCATCAACAGCAACAGGTTTGAGTTTTTTGGTTGGGACAAGTTAAATAAGGTTTCCTAGGTCTTAGATTTCCTTCCTTATTGACCTCACAAGTTGTGTGTGTATATCTGTGAATTTCAACTAAGAAAACGTGATACCATTTTGGTAACTAATACTGCAATTATAAGGTTCTACTAGAACTTCTAACAGGATCAGACTGCCTAGATTTGAACCCCAATCTGCTAGCTGTATGATCTTGAGCAAATTTAAGTTCTCTGTGTTTTGATTTGCTTCTTTGTAAAATAGAAATAATAAGAATAGCTGCCTCATATAGTTATTGTTGTTGTTGTTGTTATGTGCCATTGAGTCAGATGGGTATTTAAATGAGCTAGAAATTTAAACGAGCTAGTATAGCAACTGGCAACAATATTATACATAAAATCCTTATATGTTGTTGTTGTTAGATGCCATCAGTTCAGCTCCAACTCATAGTGACCTTATGTGCAACAGAACAAAACACTGCCTAGTCCTATGCCATCCTCACAGTCCTTGCTATGCTTGAGCCCATCATTGCAGCCACTGTGTCATTCCATCTTGTTGAGGGACTTCCCCTTTTTCGCTGAACCTCTACTTTACCAAGCATGATCTTTCTCCAGGGAACTGTTTCCATCTGATGACATGGCCAAAGTAGGTGAAACAAAGTCTGGCCATTCTCACTTCTAAGGAGCATTCCAGCTGCATTTCTTCCACGACAGACTTGTTCCTTCTTCTGGCAGTCCATCATATTTTCAGTATTCTTTACCAACACCACAATTCAAAGCCATCAACTCTTCTTTGGTCTTCCTTATTCATTATCCCGCTTTTACATGCATATGAGGTGATTGAGAATACCATGGCTTCAGTTAGGCCCACTTTAGTCTTCAAGATGACATATTTCCTCTTTAAAACTTTAAAGAAATCTTTTGCAGTAGATTTTCCCAGTGCAATATGACATCTGATTTCTTGACTGCTGCTTCCATGGGTGTAAATGTAAAATGAAATCCCTGACAACTTCAATCTTTTCTCCTCTCCATTTATCGTGATATTGCTTATTGGGACACTTGTGAGGATTTTTGTTTTCCTTTATGTTCTTTATTTATTGTTTTCTTTATGTTAAGATGTAATCCCTACAGAGGACTTTGATCTTCATCAGTAAGTGCTTAAAGTCAACTTCACTTTCAGCAAGCAAGGTTGTGCCATGTGTGTATCACAGATTGTTAATAAGGCTTCATCCAATCCTCATGCCAAAGGCTTATATAATCCTTCTTCCCAGATTATTTGCTCAGCATACATATTGAATAAGTATGGTGAAAGATTACAACCTTGCCGCACACATTTCCTGATTTTAAATGCACCATCCCCTTGTTCTATTTGAAAGACAGCCCTTTGTCTGTGTACAGGTTCCTCATGAGCACAATTAAGTGTTCTAGAATTCTCATTCTTTGCAATGTTATCCATAACCTGTTATGACCAAACAGTCAAACGCCTTTGGATAGTCAATAAAACACAGGTAGATATCTTTCTAGTATTCTTTGCGCTCAGCCAAGATCTGTCTGACATCAGCTATGCCTTGTTCCATGTCCTCTTCTGAATCGAGATTGAATTTCTGGAAGCTTGCTGTCAATATACTGCTACATCTGTTTTGCAATTATCTTCAGCAAAATTTTACTTGCATGTGATATTAATGATACTATATGACAATTTCCACATTGACAGTGAGTTTGTTTTTTTGATTTAATTTTTATGGGAGCAGATGGTCAGATCTTTCTCCCACAGAACTACTGTGTGCGTTCAAACTCCCATCCTTTCAGTTAGCAGCTGAGTGCTTAACCATTGTACCACCAAGGCTCCTATCAAAACTCCTAGAAAGTGAAAGGGTGACATAAGCTTATTTTTAATCCATATCTTGTTTTACTTTTCTCTCCCTTTTCTCTCTTCCTCACCACCTCCCATTTCAATCATGCGATCAGTAAGAGAGGGAGAATCACACATCACACACTGGCACCTATTATAAGGCAAACTTTGTACTTCATCTGCTCAGCAAAGTCAAAATGCCTCAAAATTGTTTTGTATTATTCAACACAACTGCTTTGCATTCTGATTTGGTTTACACATAGGTAAACATCCCCTTCTAGCACTAAATATGCAGTCAGAGTATCGTTTTCTTATAGGCATGATGACCCTGTGAGTGCCTTGCCAGCCCAAATGCGGATGCTCAGCCTTGCCTTCTTAACGTTCTGTGAGATAGAGGCCCGAGGAACTTTTAATACTTTAGAAACGAGAGGGCGCTAACATTAAGACAAAAACTGCCCTATCACAAATGGCAACATCCACTGATAGACACACAAAAGTAATAAGGAGAATAAAGCTAGCTCAGCTGTTTGCTTACCCCAAGAATCTCACTGAATAAGAAGGCATAGAGGGGTGTGACCGTCCCATTGACAGATGCACTCACAGACCCTACCAGCATGTAGGGCCACTCGGGAGCATTGAATTTCAGAATCCTCCTGACTGGAGCAGGTTCAACTTCCTCTTCCACAGGAATATCCATGCCCTTAGAGGGAAAGAGAGTGACAGTAATCATCCAAATATGTACCTAGATATTTTACACACACTCTTTTATTACACAGAGACCCTTTGCATTCATAGACTAAAGAGTTTTTATTTGATTGGTTATGTGTGACCTCAAAGATCTATGCAATGCAGTGATTTTTAATTTTGCAAGGATTGGTTTTGAATGGGATGCAGACTGAGCCCAGAGGACTGTTTATCTGAAGGTGAGTTTGTAGTCCTCATTTCACAATCACATATGTATTAACTTTTAGGGAGCAATGAATATGATGCATTGTTCAGAAAAATAACTCCCAATTAAAAATAAATAATAAAAATAAACAACTGTGTCATAGCAATATTTATACATGTGAATATTTATAAAACTTTCAAGATGTATCCTTCATAAATGTCAAGCTCTACAACCTAGACACTGGCTAAGTTCTAAGGCAGGTCACTATTTTGAAACAGGGCAAAATTATTAAAAAATTTATAATGTAATGTCAACAGTTATCTTATAAACATTTTCAGTAAGGCTTTTCTTAACTAGTGCCCAAAGGGAAATGATAATCCACTTGGATTTCTAAATTCACATTTTCTTAACAAGGAGTAAAAATTAGTCAATATTTTCCTATTCTGATCTCCTTAATTGTCAGAAGTGTCAGGAAGTAGGAAATGTTTATCCTTTCAAGACAAATATTATATCCTGAACCCCACCATTTTTATCATCATTTTTCTCCTGCTATAGATATTAATTGGTGTTTGGTCCTCAATTCACTTACTCAATAATTTGTTAAATTTATTACCCGCTTTCCTTGAGAAAGGATTTTAGGTGGCTTATATAGATTTGCATTGAATTTTTTTGCCTGTTCTATTAAAATATACTAAAAATAGCTATAGCAAATTAACTACAAAACTATTAGTGCTCTCTTTCATAATTCATCCGTTAGGCAGCTGAATATCAGCTAGAGGCAACAGCAAGGAACTTCAAATACTTTCCCTTTGTTTACAAAATCAAAGACCACATTACCACTTCAATTTAAATAAAAGCCTAGTGTCATGTCCATTTCATCATAGTTGCAAGCCAAATAGAATGAAGGAAGCCTACTCAGACTGGTGATAAATTTGTTATTTTCTCCATTTTAAGTTTTTTTTTGGCTTGTCCTCCACATTTGCACTTCATTATTACTATTTTCTCATGCTGCCAATCTTTCTGCTCAAATATTTCATCTCTGACAGCTTACTAACTCTAAACAATCAATGTCAGAGGCAAAACTATGCCTAGGAAGGCATAACTTGAACAGGCATAGCAAAAATGAGCTTCCAGTCTGGGCCCAACACTTATCAATGGAATGTATCACCAAACACTTCACCTCTCTGGGTCTTAGTTACTTTATCCTCAAAATGAGGGAAGTGGACCAGGTTGTTTTGGGGAGATATCTCTCCATCGATCTCTTGCATTTCTTCATGTCCTGTGAGCAGAGATATTGACTGTCTTTGTCTATTTTTTCAAGGATGTTTGTATAGCAGTCTTCCAAGACAGAGATAGTGTCTTCCTCTTAAGAAAAGAGCAAATGTGCTTACTGTCTATTATAAAAGATTCAGCTTCCTCAAAGTCAAGATTACTCTCTTGAAATGCCCTACTTCATTTGCTTGTCCCTTCTGACTCTCTTTACATCACCTTGTGGAAATGTGGGGTTGAGTTAGGGAACTAGCGCAAATATTGGACTGTGGCTACTGTTATGGTTGTGAGTGATAAAGTCCTTTTTCTCTGACCTAGGGATCTCAGGTACGACACCAGCATCCATAAAATTATGCTAGGCTAACTTGTCACCTTGCAAGTAGAATAAAATATCAGCTCCTTCACAATTCTAGACAGTTGATGTCCAGATCAGACTAGTCATCTAATTCACAGGAGATGATTGAAAATACGTATTTTGGGGTTCCAACACAAGAAATTATGATTTAAGTATAAGTGTGACTCTGTGTTTTGAAAAATACTCCTTAAGTAATACTAGTAAACAAAACCAGTTTCTGAGACCCTTAGATCATGTCCAAAATTCCTTCCAGTGCTAAATGTCTAAGATTCTGTAATTATATGTTTTAAAAGTGCCAACTATGCTGTACCATCTGGGGGTACACTGAGAAACTCATAAAAATGCCTTAAACTAAAAACAAACTCTGACATCCAGTCGATTCCAACCCATAGCGACTCCCATTGTGTTTCCAAGATGGTAAATCTTTACAGAAGTAGATTGCCCAGTCTTCCTTCTGAGGAGTGGCTGGTGGGTGTGAACTGCCAACCTTCTGGTTAGCAGTCAAATGCCTTAGGCACTAAGCCACCAGAGCTCCTAAAAATGTATCAACACTCAATGAATTCTGGCTGCTCTCCAGTGATATTAACTACTAGTTGCTGTGGAGTCAATTCCAACTTGGCATCTCCATGTGTTATGGGTTGAATTGTGTCCCCCAAAAATATGTGTTTTAAATTCTAACCTCTATGCCTGTGGTAATAATTCCATTTGGGTATGGGTTGTCTCTGTTATGTTAATGAGGCAGGATTTGTGTAGGGTATCTTAAGTTAACCTCTTTTGAAATATAAAAGAGATTAAACACATAAACAAAGCAGAGATAGGGGAAGACTGGTGCCACGGCACATAGAGATCTCCAAGGAACTATGAAACAGAAGATAAGGAGATGAGGACCTTCCCTCAGAGCCCAGAGAGCTCTGGTAGCATAGGGCCTAAGGCACTTGACTGCTAACCAGAAGGCTGGCGGTTCAAACCCACCAGCCACTTCCCAGAAGGAAGGTTGGGCAATCTACTTCTGTAGTGATACCGCCTCAGAAACCCAAGGAGGTGTCACTATGAGTTGCATCCAACTCAACGGCACATAATAACAACAAAAACAACAGGAGAGTGACATGAATTCGGATTTCTAGCCTCCTAAGCTGTGAGAAAATAAATTTCTATTTGTTAAAGCCATCCACTTGTGGTATTTCTGTTATAGCAGCACTAGAGAACAAGGCACCATGTGTATCAGAGTAGAAACTGTGCTAAGGAGTCCCCAGGGATATTAATTTTCCACATTCACTGGAAACACTCCCCTAGGGTTGGTCCACCCACAGTCTGGCATGTTGAAATTTTCCTTGTTATTCTGACTTCAAGGTATTTCTAACTCTAAGCAATAACATCTAAGACATTTGAAAGCAATATAAAGTAATTTTTTCCTGTAGTTCTCATTCAAAGATAAACTAATAAGAAGCAAAATCAATTAATCTGAAAAATTTTCTTTTGTCCCTCTACACTAAATATTTGACTTTAAAGCAAACTGTTGTCTAAGCCCCCAAAAAAACATTCAACAGTCAAATCTGAATGATGCAAAACTAGAAAATCCCAGAATAATTGAGATATGATAGAATTTTATTAATATTATTTTATTCCTCTACTATGTTAAATGGGAGCTCTGGTAGCATAGTGGCTAAGGCACTTGACTGCTAACCAGAAGGCTGGCGGTTTCAAACCCACCAGCCACTCCTCGGAAGGAAGGTTGGGCAATCCTACTTCCGTAGTGATACTGCCACGGAAACCCAAGGAGGGGTCGCTATGAGTCAGGGCTGACTCGACGGCACATAACAACAACAACAACAACTATGTTAAATAGGTACAAGAACAGTAGAGAAATAAAATAAAATGATATAAAACAAAAAGTCATTCTGCAAAGAAAGTTTTTTTTTCCCCTCTGATTTTACAAAGTTAATATAAAGAGGAGATGGATAAATTAACAGCAAATCAGTAACTCACAGAGATAATTATACAAGTTTATATGTGTTTCCTCACCGCAGAGATCATACCTCAACTACAGCACTATCATGTTGCACAATGTATATTTGTTGAGCATATTAAGAAGTGTACTGGCAGCAACTCTAGGAAGGAGATGGACAATAGCCCTCATTTATCTTTGTATCTCCAACACAACACTGGCCACAAAATAGGTGTGCAGTCAGTGTTTTGTGGATGAAAGAATGAATGAAGCTTTTGTACCCATGAGTCATACAGGCAAAAATACGTACTATATTTTAAAAACTGTTTGTGCACCTATATGATGGTTCTGTGCTAGACGCTGGTTTTGCCCAGTTTCTTTCCTTGGGCCTCTTTGTGTAGGCCAGATGAAAATTTAACTTGCTACTTCAATGCCATGTCCTGCTTGCTATACTTTGTTACACTGGCCTTGCCTGAGAGTAACTTCTAATATATCTTGCCTAGAAATGGTACATATGATAAAGGAGCAGAAAGTCTCCAAATTAGCCAATATTGATAGTCATTTCCATGGGTCCTGTCTCTGCCTTATCTCTTACCCAGTGCCTAAACCCTAGATGATAAATTGGCTGTGATGAAGTTTCAGATTTCTGATAACCGACCCTGACTTGATCTAGTCTGCACTCTGCCCTGTTTTCTAGTTTCAGTGAAAGTGATGCTTAGATCAGAGACCTAGAGAGCCTCTAGCTTACAGGCTTCTCCTGATCCTGAGCTTACTTTGACCTCACTTATGAGAACCAAGAGCATGGGTTGGAGAACCAGAGGAAATGGGCTATCGTCTTAGTTTTGTCACCAGAAAACTATGAGACCTTGGGTGAGTCACCCCACTTAGAGTTTGCAACACAGGCTTATGATACCTCTCTCTTCAATTTTCAGAATCAATACTATAAGAGACCACAAGGTGGAGATAATTCCTCTATGTAACTGTACTTTTTTGCATTGCAACATAAGATTTCCCAGTTGTCAGAAGGTAAGGTCAGGGCTTCTCACTCAAAATGAGAATAAGAAAGAATTGACCAATGCTTGGACTTGCAGAATTTAGGGAAGTATTAAGATAAAATACCAAACTGAGCATCAGTTACTCATGCAATGTTATTTGGAATTAGAAATTCCATAAGTAAAATTTTATTAACCTTGATTCCATCATTTCCTTTTAAAAAATAATTATTTAAATCTAAAGGACTATATTACAATGATTGTACAAATGAAAAGTGTTAATATAAGCATCAGATCTTTTCTTCTTGGGGTTTGGAAAAATCACATTGGCTTCCCTTCCCCCCACGCCCCCTTTCTTCCTTTCCATTTCCCTTGACTAGAGAGAATACAAAATGACAGAGTTTTAAAACTACAGTGGTTTACATTTGAGTTTAATTATTCCATTTTAATTCATAATGCTGATGAGTAAAATACTGTGTGAAATATTTTATCACTTTAAAATTAATTCCTATACTTTATTTGGGAGCTCTGGTAGCATAGTGGCTAAGACACTTGCCTGCTAACCAGAGGGCTGGTGGTTCAAACCCACCAGTCACTCCTCGGAAGGAAGGTTGGGCAATCCTACTTCCGTAGTGATACTGCCTCGGAAACCCAAGGAGGGGTTGCTATGAGTCAGGGCCGACTTGATGGCACATAACAACAACATACTTTATTTAAGTTTCCTTTTATTTAAGGGCTCCCTTCTGAGATTTTTCCTGCATCATGAGAACTTTATGCCCACTCCACAACTCCAGGGAATCCTATTGTCCTCTGTGACTGTGATCCACCACCTACCAGTTTCAACAACTGTAAAAAGGTCAAGTCCTCCCTCCCTCCCTCTCTCCTTTCTCCCCTCCCTTTCATCCTTTCTCCACCCCTCCTTTCTTTGGCAAAGTTATACCCAGAAAAGGAAAAGAAAAAATTAAAAAACGGAATACTACTGATAGCTGTTGTGCCTCAAATTTCAGTGTAGTGTTTTTCTTTCTCCCTGAAACTTTGTAAAAATCTTATTCTTACAAAACACATATTGTAGACATTAGTAGCAGTGCCATGGACATAAATGAAACACCTACTTGTAGAAGAGGAATTGAATTTTAATGGCAAGATGCAGTAAGGTGCTTGCTAAATATGCTTCCTCTCATTGATGCATGCCACTCCTCTTGAGAAAAAGTGTTCTATTAAATTTATTTAAACCCACACTATTAGACTGGGCAATCTACTTCTATAGAGATACTGCCTTGGAAACCCAAGGAGGAGTCGCTATAAGGCAGAATCAACTTGATGGCAGTGAGGTTTTTTGTTTTTTGTTTTTTTAAATTATTATTATTAGATAATGAGACCTCTACTTATTCAGTATTATTATATTAAAATAAAAAGAGAGACTTAATAATCTCTCTGTCATAGTCATAAGGTCACATATAGTTCCATACTTTATTCTGAACTTGCCCATTGTGGACTAATGCATACAATTGTTTCCTAAGTGGATTCTTATGTTGGAATTTTATTGAAGACAATTTGAAATTACATCATGCTTAAGGATGTGCCTGTCATTAAAATATTCTCTGATTTATATGTGTTGATAAATCTTGCAACTTGGGTTTATTTTAAATCCTTAAAGTCCTGCTAGGTGCAAGGCACTAGGTGCCCCACTTGACACAAACACAAATAAGATATAGCAATTAACTTCAAGAAGCTTATAACTTAGTAAGGTAATCAGATAAACATTCAAATAAGAAATATTTAAAATAAGACTTAATAAGAAAATTGCCATGAGAAGATTCAAACGAAAGGTAATAGGGATCAAAATGAGAGTATCAGAGCTGTACAGTGAAGTGTTGTCAGGAAGGCTTCCAAGAGGACAAATGGTCACCTTATGTGAAAGTTAGTACCTGCAACAGCTTTGGATACATGCCTACAGCCTTATGAAGAAAGCTTTATATTGTTATATGTGTTCATTCTCCTAATATCTCTTTAATTTTTTATGTTGTTTTGAAATATATTTGTGCAAACAAATGTCAAAAAAATCTAATCAGGCTCTGTTAATTCAAAATGGGTAATAATTTGTATAAGGGCTAGAACTATCGAAGAACCTTTGTTGAACGAACACTTTTGCCAAGGTTATTATAATGTAAGAGAAGATTTTTAAATTTGAGGAAAACAAAAGTGTTTTCAGATATCTTAAAAAACAAACAAAAAAACTTTAAAAAAACACTTGTCCATAAGCAAATGATCTGCTAAAACCAAAAAGCCAAACTCACTGCTGTCAAGTCAGATCCGACTCATAGCGACCCCCCATTGGGTTTCTGAGACATTATTACTATGGAAGTAGATTGCCCACTCTTCCTTCTGAGGAGTGGCTGGTAGGTTTGAACCACCAGCCTTCTGGTTTGTAGTCAAGTGCCTTAGGCACTATGCTACCAGAGCTTCCAAATGATCTGCGAAGTACAAATAATTACACTGTATTTATTAAAATGATTCCTCTAAGAACTATTAATTTACCTTTAGTAGCCCAGTTTTAGTTACCATATATTTTTAAAAGTAACAATTAACTAATCTACATTTCTTTTAAAACATTTTATAAAATTAAGAGTTTCCATTAAGTCCACATGGGTTCCCCTATTTAGCCTGACTTGGTGAAACATTATTAGCTATATGCCTAGCAAACTCGTATTTTCAGATTTAAAGGGCATGCAATGGTCCCCAGGAGAGGCTTCTTCCATTCCCCCACAAGCAATTGGTGCCTGACCTTTCTGTTTTCTTCATAAGGAGGCTTATGTTCTACAACAGTTACCGGATGTTCATGTACCAGGTAAGAAAGCTGAGAGTTGGAGCGCTGCCGGATGGAAGCTCTGCAAATAAACAGAAAGATGAATCTATAGATTGTGGGCAGATTGGAATAGAACTCAACTGGTTTCCAAATTTACATCATGTGTGTCAAATAAACAGAAATGTGTGGTAGGTCACATGGCAACGGGGTCAGGAAGCTCCCTGGTTAAGTTTGACAGAGCTATCCTAAAACCAAACCCATTACCATTGAGTCATAGCAACCCTACCTGACAAAGTAGAACTACTCCACAGGCCTGCCAAGCTGTAAGGTTTACAGAAGCAGACTGACATTTTTCTCCTGAGAAGTGGCTGGTGAGTTCGAACTGCCAACATTTTGAGTAACAGCCAAGTACTCTAACCATCACACCACCAGGGCTTCTTCCAACCTATCCTTAGGGCAGAGCTCTTCAGGTAGATTGCTAAGGAAGTTGGGGTTGGAGGGGACAAGCTCTTGTAATTGCTGGACCCTGGTTCAGAGTGCAGCCAGGGAGGGAGCAAGAGAAGAGGAGGAAAGTTGTCCACCAGTCTACCAACAAAAAGAAAAAAGTCCAAGACTCAAATACATTCCAAACCCACATGATTCTGCTGATTTCCACCATGACAAAGGTCCATCATCTCTAATATACACCTTCCTCCAGGTTGTAGGTTGTAGTTTTGATTCTGTCTCTCTTTTAAGTCTATACCTGATATTTACTTTAGTGTGAGACCACCTGGATACAATGAGCTGTAAGAGGAAATGGGCCCTTAATGAGGATTTTCTCCAGATGATGTAGCACCCCCCAGAGAGAGGTATTTAGTTAACAAATATCTGATTGAAATATAGATTGATATGTTCATTCATGTATTCATTCAACAAAGGCTTATTGGACACCTACGACATGCAAAGCAATGTCAGGTGCTCTGTGTGTGTGTGTGTGTGTGTGTGTGGTGGAAGGATGAGTTACAAATATTGGTCAATCATAGACTTTACCCTCCAAAAAAACACACAAAAAACAAAAACCATTGCCATCAAGTGGATTTAGACTCATAGTAACTCTATTGTTGTTGTTATGATAGTGACCCCTCCTTGGGTTGCCGAGGCAGTATCACTATGGAAGTAGATTGCCCAACCTTCCTTCCAAGGAGTGGCTGGTGGGTTTGAACCACCATCCTTCTGGTTAGCAGTCAAGTGCCTTAGGCACTATGCTACCAGAGCTCCTAGTAACTCTATAGACAGAGTATAATTGCCCCGCAGGGTTTCCAAGGCTGTAATCTTTACAGGAGCAGACTGCCACAGCTTTCTCCTATGGAGCAATTGGTAAATTCAAACCACTGTCCTTCCAGTTTGCAGCCAAGTGCTTAACACTGCACCACCAGGGCTCCTTGCTTTTCCCTCAAAGATTTAAAATCTTATAAACAAACAGTGCATGTGCCTAACCCTGATGTAAGAAATAAATGTGGTAAGTACTATAAGGGAGGTTGAGTAAATACCACAGAAGGTAAAAGGAAATGTATGGCAGGTGTTATCATGAAAGACTTCGTGAAAGAGATAGCTAAGGTAGGATTTTGATATTTGTACACTAGAAGGAAGAGTATTTCTGCATGAGAGAACAGTGTAGACAGAAGTGAGGAGACAGGAAAAAGCAGAGTAATTACATGACAAGTATAGGAAATGATTGGTTCCATTTTTGTTTTTGTTTTTTCCCCTGAGATTTCTGAGAAGGAGTCTTCCATTCTCCTCTAGGTTGAACCTGAAAGTATGGAGCTCTAGGAGCTACTGGCAAACACTAAAGAAAGATAATTCTTGATAAATGAAGCTGACACCAAAAAAAACAGAGCTGTGAAAGGAAGAAAAACTATATCTATCTTGGACACATATTGGAACCCCAGGCTTACCTGAAGCCAAAGCATCCTTGGACCATTTAGTTATGTGAGCTGCTTCTTTCTTTTTAAGGTTAAACCAAGTTAGGTTAAGCTTTCAGTTGTCTATAATAATCTTAAATAATAGAATCCATACTGAAGGGAAATTACAGATCAAAACTATGTTTTGGAAAGCTTAATCTGGGCTGATAAGAACTCTGGTAGCATAGTGCCTAAGATGTCTGACAGCTAACCAGAAGGCTGGCGGTTCAAACCCACCAGCCACTCCTTGGAAGGAAGATTGGGCAATCTATTTCCTTAGTGATACTGCCTCAGAAACCCGAGGAGGGGTCACTATGAGTTGAATATGACTCTATGGCAGTGAATTTGCGAGTTTTGAGTAATCTGGGCTGATATGATGTAAAGAGAAAGATGTTAGGAGAGACCTGAATCAACCGTTCAAGTGCAATCTAGATGGAACAATTTATGTGTCTCTGTTATTTGCATTCAGGTGAAATTCAACTAAAACAAATATCAAGGGGATGCCTGCCTATGATATGCTCACCTAGCCTTCTTGAGAAGGCCCACTCACTGCCATTGCATTGATTCCGACTCATAACGACCCCCACCATCGGGCTTCCAAGGCTGTAAATCTTGAGAAGGCAGTCCATGCCAACTTAATGACTCTAATTTGTTCCTTTCCTCTGTTAGTAGCTCCTTGTCACCCAAGTTCAACATTCCAAACTTATAAAATTATATGAATATTTAATTGTAAGCATCTTTAATCACTTTTCCCTAAACAATTAATCATCTTGGAAAAGCAATTCGTATAACCAATCCTTTGTTCAGAGTGCAGCCTTGAATTAAATGTCCTAGAAAGGGTCAAGGACATTTGGCTGCTAACCAGAAGGTTGGCAGTTCAAACCCACCAGCTGCTCTGTGGGAGGAAGATTTTATTGAAACCTCTGAACTAGGATGTAACACTAAAATTTTCAGTCTTGTTACCTGGGACATACTCCAAAAATACATTTTGAAAGTAAATACCCTTATATTGATCTATGCATTTATCTCAAGTCCTCCATCTTCCTTGTTTTTGGACATTCAAACTCTTGCCACATCTCATTATGACTAGACAGGAACCTTTCTTCCTCCTCACTCCCTACCACCAACAGGTCTCTGGTATTTCCAATTCCTTCCCATCTGGCCTGAAACTCCACAGCAGTAGAGCCATTTCTTTGTGTTAGGTAATGAATATTGGATGTCTTCTCCACAATTTGTGGATGAGCATTGTCATCTGGAGACAGCAGAGTGTGAAATAGGGCTGATACTTAAAGTCAGAGGTCATGGGCCTAGAAGCAAACCCAGGATAATGCAAGCCAAGATTTGTGGTAAAGGAGGAGATTTCAAGTTATAGTTGATCACTCCCAGTTTTGAGCATTAGCAAACCTATATCCTTGGCGCCTCTGATTTCTATTACTTTAGTCATATTTCTTAAGTCTCTTTCCCCCATTCTCAAAACCATTCCAAACATCTAATAATATTGGCTGTCACAATAAGCCTGTGGGCAATAAGCATGAGAGACAGGAGCTCTATCTGACAGCTGCTTCCTCCTTTAACCAGTTTACCACTTCCCATCTAGTCAACTCTGACTCATGACAAACCCATGCATTATAGAGTAGAACTGTACTCCATAGAATTTTCATGGCTGTGACCATTCAAAAGCAGATTAGTAGGGCTTTTTTTCCAAGGCAGCTCTGGGGGAGTTTGAAACACCAACTTTTCAGTTATTAGCTTAGTGCTTAACTATTTTCACCATCCAGGGACTCCTGGTTTCCTCTCTAATGCACCATAAATATCAGCATAAGAATTCCATCACACCCCTTGTCAGAAACCTATAATATCTGCCACTCCCTTGCTCAGAAGCTGCAAACTCTACTTACTGCAAATAAAAACAGCTAATTTGAGGGTTCAATGTCCTTTTTCTCTTAACATTATTATTTAGGAAATTAGTTGCTATTACCCATTAAAATATTCTTGAACTTAAAATATATAGCTAAGGAGGGACTTAGGCATCAGAAAGACTGAAGCCCAAGAAATAAGATATAAATTAACATTTCAATTAGTCACCTCTTAGCACAAAAATCTGTCAGCATACACAATGAGATAATTTTAACAGAGCTTCTTGCTCAAATTTATACATCTTTCTCTGTTGGAGGTTAATAGCTCCTTTTCTGTGTGTACATTTTATTTCTGGATTTCTTAATCCTAGTAACCAAAATGTAAGATTTGTGAGAAATTATAGCCAAGTAGGGATTGTTTATATCAAACATGATTATCTGGTTTTAATAATAAACTGTAAATAAACTACTTTAAACAGGTAGAATGTTGTTTATCTGAAAAGTTAAGAAAATATTTAATTTTACTGACATGACAACAAGGTAGACCTCTACTTTTAAACCTTTAACCTAGACATCAAGAGAAATTCCGAGTGACTCTCTGTGTTTAAGAAGTTAGTTGGTTTTTTGGTTGCTATTCTAATGACCTTTATGACTGTAATTTTTCATCCCAATCAGAAAAGCATAATTAAATATAAGGCCAATTATCTATAAAAACTGCCTAATAATTTTTGCATATTATATTTTTAGTTTTCACTTTCTAGAGTAACTTGAAACTACTGCTTGATTACTTTCCAAATACAATAAAACTAGCACTTCTTGAAATTTTCCTGAATAGATTGTTCTCAGGAGGAAAAATAAAAACCCTAAACATAAACGCTGTGGACTATTTAAGAAAAAAAAAAAAATCTGTATCTAAACAACTTGGAGTTGTTACATGAATATTTTATTTTAAGCCTTTTAAACCACTTTTCCCTAAACAATTAACCGTCTTTAACAGGCAATTCATGTAACTAAATCTTCACTCAGAACACAGCCTTGAATTAAGTGTTCTAGGAAGGATACAGGCAATGGTGGAACGATAGGATATCATGTTCGTGCCTACTGATAGTCTCCCAACTTAAGAAAAAAACAATCCTGAAAAAAAAAAATTTCATGAATATAGACATATGCTCCCAGGCAGAATTCTTCTATGTGTGTGTGTGTGTATGTATTCTTGTCTCTTTATTTTTATTTTTATTGTGGTTTGGGTCACAGTTTACAGAGCAAATTCATTTTCATACAGCAGTTCATAACAGCTCTCTTCCCACTTCCTCCCTGTGTCCTTCTTTCCAATGCATTCCTGACCCCTGAACTATCTCCTTGTGCAATTACTGCCCTTCTGTTCTCTCATGATTGATTGTTTTAAGGAGTGTATCAACCTGATCAACCTGGTGTAAATGTTTACCCCATAAGCCAGTTTATTGTTTGGCTGGAAGCTATGGAAGTGAATTCAATTCCAGGCCTAAAGGTTAACCAGGGCCATGGTCTTGGGGTCTCACCAGGCTCTCTCAGACCAGTAAACCTGGTCTTTTGTATGATTTTGAGTTTTGTTCCATGTTACTCTCCCCCTGTATCCAGGATCTCCTGCACTGATCTCTTTCCAAGTGGTTGACAGTGGTAGCTGGGCACCATCTGGTTCTTCTAGTCTCATAGTCATACAGGCTGAGTTCATATGGTTCACTAGTCTCTTGGATTAATTGGTGCCATGTGCCTTTGGTTTTCTTCATTCTTCTTTGCTCTGGATGATGAGAGACCCATTATTGCATCTACATGGCTGCTTGCAAGCTTTTAAGACCCAGTTGCCACTAACCGAAGTTGAATGTAGAACAATGTTTTTGTGTAGCATATTATGCCAATTGAGCTTCATGTCCCCTGCAACCATGGTCCTGAGCCCAGAGGTGCAACAACTTGCTCCATCAGGGTGGTTAACTGCCAGAAAGAATTCTTAATACACAGACTTTTAGCATCAACCTAGAAACTATTTTGCTGAAACTTATAAACCAGGAAGTGAAGCTAAAATTTTTAATATTGTTAACAAGATCATGCTCCAAAAATATGTTTTGAAAGTGAATACCTATATATTGATTCAGAGAAAAAGAAATAGCTCATATTTAGGAAAATCCCTTCAAAAGGTATAAAATATATATTTTTAAAAAATTCACCTAGTTAAAGAATGATTTGATTTCAGATGGATTACTCTGGCAATAAAAGTGTTTGTAATTCAATTGTAACTCAGTAAGTTAAGGAGCAGTACTAGAGGCATGAGTTTGGCCTCCATATAAGAGTACAATGAGCTTTGGGAGAAGAAATTAAACACAGACTTTTTTTAAAAAAAAAATCCCTTTCCAACATCAACAAACATTATTTTAACTATTTAGAGTCTTTCCATAATGACCCCTGCACCCAAATAGATAAGAAGCCAAGGTTAAACAAACAAAACCATGAACTCGACACAGACATGTAAATATAGAATTCATTTGAATGCTCATTTAACACAAAACTTGGGAATATGTTTGTTGTTGTTGTTGTTTGCCGTCGAGTCAGCCCCAACTCATAGTGACCCCTCCTTGGGTTTCCCAGGCAGTATCACTACGGAAGTAGGATTGCTCAACCTTCCTTCCGGGGAGTGGCTGGTGGGTTTGAACTGCCAGCCTTCTGGTGAGCAGTCAAGTGCCTTAGGCACTATGCTACCAGAGGGCTCCTTTTTTGTATGCTGAAATATTGTCTAAGGATCATAGTGGAGAAAGGGGCTGGGAAGAATATTTGGAAGTTTTTAAAACTGCCCCATGACTTGAACTTACCTTAAACTAGCACAGTAACTCCCTCTGCTAAAGGTCTGTTTTCTCTCAAGTAAGGCATCTTCAGTTGCATCTTCTTCTATTCAACACAACATGAGTGATTCTTTAGTGTATATAATATGCAGAACCATTCTTGAATAGAATTATTTATTATATTTGCCCAGATATAATTACTATACCTGGCACTGAAGTTTTTTTTTATTAATTTTGTTGCAATAAATAAAACAACATTGTCCAGCATATTCTAACAGAAAATTCAAAATAGTCAGAAAGATTGAATCATTTGAACTATATGAGAGCCTATATATGTTACCTCCACAGAATTCAATATCTTATAGCATGAATCATATAAACTTGAGGGAAGCCCACCAGAAGTGGCAAAGAGTGATGGCTCCACCAAATGTTTTAAATCTATTCAGAATAATAGTCACATATGTTAAACATATACCAAAACCAAAACCAAACCCACTGCCATCGAGTCGGATCCGACTCATAGAGAATCCTCCTTGGGTTTCCAAGGCGGTATTACTTCGGAGGTAGATTGCCCAACCTTCCTTCTGAGGAGTGGCTGGTAGGTTCAGTGAAACAGTAAACGAAGTGTGAAGTGGTTGATTAATGTAAGTGTGGTAAACACGAAATGTGGCCACTGGGTGGCACAAACAGTTTGCTTTTGGCAAATCCACCCAGTGGCACAATGAAAGAAAGGCCTGGCATTCTGCTCCCTTAAGATTACAGCCCTTAAAAACCCTATGGAGTGCAGTTCTACTCTGAAACCTGTGGAGTTGCCACAAGTCAGAGTTGACTCAACAGCAATGTTTTTGTTTTTTTTTTTTAACCACCAGATCTGAGAATTCAGTTTGAAGAGAAGATACAGTAGGGTCTGAAGTATCTACATTAATGAAAACCAAATACTTTGTAGTCATTTGTTAATTTACTCAACTAACAAGCATAGAGTTCCCACTGTGGGCAAGACAATCTAAGAAACCCCTCCCGTTTGCAAAGTGTGAAGAAACGGGGACAGGAGTGAAAAAAGACCAAGGTTATACCTCTATGACTTGATCAGGTAACTTGACCTCCTCTACCTTAGTTATTTCCCTTATCATCTATAAACAGGGGGAAATAATAACACCTTCTAGGGCTCTTGGGAGAACAAATAAGACAGTATATATTAAAATGCATAGAAAGTCATAAAGCACTGTACATGTTATTATATACATTTGAGTTTTTTTAAAAATGAACAGGTACACATAAGGGAAAGATACTTGCCCTGCACGTCCTTTTCGTTAAGGGCTTGATCTCCTTGACTTTGCAAAGTTACTAGAGTGAAGTAAACTCCTTTCCTTTCCAACAGTTCTTCATGGGTGCCTCTTTCCACTGCTGCACCATGTTCGAATCCAATAATGACATCTGCAACTTTAACTGTGGATAGGCGATGGGCAACTGAGACAATGGTACGTCCGTGCTGAATCTGTAAGCATGCACAATGTACCATTAAATGAGACTGTACCATAGAACAATCCAATCCTTTTGATTGTCTCAGATCCAAGTATATCAGAGCCTTGGTCCCTGGGAAAATCTTCAGATAGCCTATAGATTTTAGGAAAGACCAGTATACTTTCTTGTGGCCATAAACATCATCACACACTGTTCTGGTTGCTGCTATTAATTCACAGCTAAAACCAAACAAACCAAAATTTTAGTCATGTATTATAAGATAGACTATACAACATTTTGAAATTTTCATTCAAAATGTATTTGCAATTTCTGGAAGCAAACCATAATTGTCTTCTGTTCACCTGTGAGGCAAAGTATAACCTATCGCTGTTTTTTAAACAGCCACTCTGAATACAATGATCCATGTGGTATTCAGCTGCAGTTGATTCTTATTATTTGAGGTAATGTTCTACAGAGTCTCCATGAATTCTGAATTAGAGAATCCTGAACCATCGCTCTAGGGGAAATATAATGTTAGTTTCCTGCAAGCCTCTGGTCACCACATTTTCGTCAACTGATCAAAACATAACCTTGTTTTATGTGTTTTTCTGTTTAAAGAGATCTTTTTTAATATATAATGTTGATTCATTAACATTGAATTTGGAGGCAACACTACAACTTAATGCTTGAATAAAGTTTATCAAACACACATGTTTTCTCTGTTAGGCATATCATGGCCTCTTGTGCTTAGGAAGACTAGACAACACTTCAATATCACACTGGAGGACCATTTTTCACAGCAAAGTCACCAAAAAAAGCAAAAAAAAAAAAAAAATGGCACTAAATAGACTACAAAAAAAGACACTTGAAGGCAGAGTGCTGGCTTGTTCAAAGAGCTGGGAAAGTGTACATCAAGCAACTCAAATTTCTCACCACTCTACAGATGTCTGTGAATGGTAGCAAAAGGTCACAAACATTGATCTGAGCATTATAAACAAATTTTAGAAAGTAACTGAATTCACAAATATGGAATCTGCAAATAATGAAGATCAACTGACAGTGTGTGGTCCTCTCTTATCTCTCTGTTTTTCTCTTTCTCTCTCTCCATCCCTCCATCTCTCTCTCCCTCTCTCTCTCTCTCTCTCTCCCTCTCTGTTTCTCTCTCTCTCCCTCTTTGTCAATGAGCTTCTTCTCCCATAGCAGCACAAGCATTTCCACATGGGCCTGTGAAATGAACTCAGACTTTCAACAGACCTTACTCAGTGCTTCTTGTACCACAGCTTCACTCTCATTGTCCAACGCTGAGGTGGCCATGTCCAAAAGCAGGATCTTGGGGTTGCGGACAAGGGCTCTAGCAATGGCTATTCTTTGTTTCTGGCCACCACTCATTTGGCCTCCACCTTCTCCAACCAGGGTATCAAATTTCTAGGAAGAAAGCAACACCAGTAACTGAGGAAGAAGCATTTGTTCATTTGATAGCTCCTGACAGTGATTCAATGTGAGATCCTTTCTAGCTTCCTCCTCAAGTATAATTTTGCACAGCTATGACTTTCGCTGGAAGAAAGCCCCCTTTCTGAAACAGATTATTGTCTGATCAGTATTTGTGTGTAAATGAAAATGATTTACACTTTCATTCCCAGGTTCACTGGGTTGCATAAAAGTTCCTATTTCATTTAACCTCAAGTAAAACTTTTGAGGCAAAGTGAAAATTGGTCAGGGTCCTGAAAATTCAACTTAGACGATTAACCCACGTATCAACTCCTTGTCCTTATCTCTTGATGGACAACACACCAAAACACAATGCTAAAGCTGTCTTTACTTTATGAATGAAAGATAGAGCCAGCTTTATAGTTATTTTCATCAACAGCAAATAGTTACTGAAATCTCATCTAGCACTACATTGGAATCTAAGAATGAGGTATTGGTGGTCAGACTGTTATCTTGCTTATTATTAGCCAACATGATTAAGCACCCACTATGTGTCAGGTGGGAGCTCTGGTAGCATAGTGGCTAAGACACTTGCCTGCTAACCAGAGGGCTGGTGGTTCAAACCCACCAGCCACTCCTCGGAAGGAAGGTTGGGCAATCCTACTTCCGTAGTGATACTGCCTCAGAAACCCAAGGAGGGGTCGCTATGAGTCGGGTTTGACTCGACTGCACATAACAACAACAACAATGTGTCAGGTATGTGCTAAGCTCTTTACACACATCAATTTAATCCTCACAACCTATGAGGTAAGTACAGCTGTTCTCCTTAACTGATGGATGATGAAATGCTGAGATATAAGAGGGTAAAATAACTTGCCCAAGTTCATAGTGTTTGTAAGTGGAGAAACTGGAATTTACATAGAAGCAGTCTGATTCTAAAGCTTTCTCTTTCACCACTGGATTGTATCATACTCACAATTGCCATTCTATTCATAAAAGGTAATTTAGAAGACTGAAAACAATGTGTCCAAAAGCACAGACTCTGGAGCCCCATTGCCTGGATAGGAACCTTCTCTTGCTCACTGCTGTGTAATTGGCACACAGTTAACACTTGGCTGCTGACTGAAAGCCTGCTGCTTCAGGTCCACCCAGGAGTCCTCAGAGGAAAAGCCTAGCACTCTCTTTTTGAAAAAACAGCCATTGAAAAGCACAGTTCTACTCTGACACCACGTGCAAGTTACTGCTACCTGGCCAATTTAGCGTCTGGTATGTGGTGGTGCAAATGGTTAAATGCTCGGCTGCTTACCAAAAGATTGGCAGTTCAAACCCACCCATGGGCACCTCGGAAGAAAAGCTAGCAATCGGCCTCTGAAAGGTCACAGTCATGAAAACCCTGTGGAGCACAGTTCTACTCTGTACACATGTGGGGTCTCCGTGAATCAGTATCAACTCAACAGCAACTGGCAGATAGGTGTTTAATGGATGGGGATCAGGAAATTGTATCTATGTCAAAGGGGACATTTTAAAAGAAAGTTTCCCAGTTTGGTAGATGTTTAATATATTAACACCAATTTATTTTCAGACAAAGGGGAAAACTCTTGGTATAATTCCAGGCATAAAATTAAACGTGACATTAAACATTTACTTATTCAGGATTCAAATTTGAAGAAATGCATATTATTATGTAACTTGTTTTCTTCTGTGAGTTCTGGATTTTCCCCTGGAAACATAAGCTAGGATACCTGCGGCAGGTCCATGATGAAGTTGTAGGCATTGGCTTCCTTGGCAGCTCGTACTATTTCTTCCATTGTTGCGTCTTCTCTGCCATAGCGAATATTTTCTGCAATCGTGGTGGAGAACAGAACTGGCTCTTGTTCCACTATCCCAATCTGAGCTCTAAGCCACTGAATGTTCAGAGAGCGGATGTCATGGCCATCCAGGGTGACCTAGAGAGCATAAGCACAACATGACATCCCTTGGGATCCTTGAAGGTCAGAATCATAATGTTACATTGTACTTGACCAATGGAGAGAGAAAAAAAATGGACACTGGCAAAATCATAATTGAAATAATTTCTTTTGTACTGTGGTTGCTTATTTAAGGATTGTTGTTGTTGTTGTTATATGCCGTCGAGTCAGACCCGACTCACAGCGACCCCTTGTTGGGTTTCCGAGGCGGTATCACTATGGAAGTACATTGCCCAACCTTCCTTCCAAGGAGTGGCTGATGGGTCTGAATCGCCAGACTTTTGGTTAGCAGTGAAGTGCCTTAGGTACTACGCTACCAGAGCTCTGATTGTCAAAACACAAATGACATAAAGGTCACTTAATGCAACATGATAGGCCCAGGAATGGTAAGCTTTTAACTCCTCATAAAGAGTAGAGTTGGTTATTCACCAAACTTTGAATATTTTTGTTATCTTTTAACTTGGGACCAAAAATGGACTTCCAAAGATACAATAAATACAAGCAGTGATTATATCCTTACATATATGCTTCATAGTAAGGAACTCTGTTGGTACAGTGGTTAAGGCACTTGGCTGCTAACCAAAAATTTGGTAGTTTGAACCCACCAGCTGCTTTGCAGAAGTAAGATGAAGCAGTATGCGTCTGTGAAGATTTACAACCTTGGAAACCCTGTGAAGGTCACTATGAGTTGGAATCAACTCAATGGCAGTGAATTTGGCGTTTTGGTTTTTATGCTTTAAAGTAAATCTTACTTTCTGGCCAGAATTATCAAATAATATGGATGCACAAAAGAAACTGAAAATGTAAGTGGGATGAGCAAATAAAAATAAATATTAGCAACACATCTTACATGAAAAAAGAAATCACGATTTGTGTATATTCAGAGTGTAGTTATGGTGGTATGCAGTAAAGAATACCCAATCAGAGAATGAAATACCTGAGAAAAAGGAAAATTCCATTATGCTTGTCTTGCATTATAGTGAACCCATTGTATTGAAGCCATTTAACATATAGTTAAGTGACTATTTCAAGACATCAAGGAGATGCTGACAAGATCGATTTTCAGGCAGAATGAACCCAACAGTGTTCAAATCCTGGCTTTATTGTTAGCTGAATAATCTGGAAAAAGTTCAGTCTCTGAGTCTCTGCTTCTCATTATAAAATAGATATATTTGCCTTTCGGGGTCATTATGGGAATAAGAAGCTCTTGTGGCATAGTGCCTAAGGCACTTGACTGCTAACCAGAAGGCTGGCGGTTCAAACCCACCAGCCACTCCTCAGAAGGAAGGTTGGGCAATCTACTTCTGTAGTGATACTGCCTCGGAAACACAAGGAAGGGTCGCTATGAGTCGAGGCACATAATAACAACATGGGAATAAAGGGATCGTTCTTATAAGGTACCTGATATATAATTTTATAAATAAATGTCAGTTATTAATATTATTAATTTTCATAATATTAGTCTATGTTTACAGTCAAATAAACCCAACAAAACCAACCCTTGCTGTCAATTTAATTCACTTGCTGTCAAGTCAATTCCGACTCATAGTGATGCTATAGGACAGAGTAGAATTGTGCCATAAGGCTTCCAATGCTGCAATCTTTATGGAAGCAGACTGCCACATCTTTCTCCCGTGGAGTGGCTGGTGGGTTCAAACCACCCACCTTTCATTATCAGTCAAGCTCTTAACCACTGTACCACTAGTGCTCTTTTTACAGTCAACTAAAGAGAAGAGATGAAGTGTTTTGTTAAATTAAATAAATTAGGCTTTTAAAACCTAACTTCTCAAAGCAGTAACCAAGGGCAGTTCTCTGATAATTTCTAGTCATATCAGTTTTTCTAAACTCTGTTTCTGGGGAACTTTCAGGGAACAATCATGGTTTTGTTACAATACAATGAAAGAAATGGAAAGTTTAGTTCACTAAAGAGGCTATAATGTCACTTTGAATGTGTCTTCACATTCAGGTACATCACTGAGTAAATCGACTGGTTATTCATCTAACACTGCCCCCATGTGGGGTATTTGTACAGTAATTCAGTCAGAAATCATTAAATCAGCTATGCGTGGGCCAGAACAGTCACAGTGTATGTGTGGCCTTGAGTTTGATCAACATATTCCATTTGTGCTCTTCTCATCCCAGTGGACTGAGAGGTTTCTGGAAAACACACACCATGCCTTCACTGGGGTCATAGAAGCGTTGAATGAGCTGCAATGCTGTGCTCTTCCCAGAGCCACTGGATCCTACCACAGCGGTCGTTTCCCCTGACTTAATGACCATGCTGAGGTTATTCAAAATCTGGAGGGAAAAGAAAACAACGAATTTGAGGTTATCAGCGTGAACCTAATCAAGCAATTAGGCTATGAGTTAGGATGCTTTGTGAGGACCTCCGTGTGTGTATGTATGTGTGTGTGCAAGAGAGAAAGAGAGAGAGAGACTTGTGATCCCAAAGAAATATTCATTAATATCCATCAATAACCAGAAAATTAATAAACAATGCATAGGACAAAATTTCAGCATTAAGCATATTCCTTATTTCATTTCATTTTATTTTTTTTACTTAAAACAATAGAAATGTATTGTCCAAATTCAGACTGTCAGCAAGGCCATGCTCTCTAAAGGCTTTTGGGAAAGATACTTCTGGTAGGCACAGAAATTCCCTAATTATTTACCTAATGGCTGCAGCCAACAAATTAAAATGATGTTTATTAAGGCTGATGTAAATAAACCATGATAACTTTTAAAAATTATGCTCCAACATGTAATTTAGAACACTTCTGATATACCAAGTTACTTCAAGAAGACTGTTTCAATTAATAAAAGAAGAATACATTAAGTTAGAAATAAAATACTAATTTACTGATCACAGATTAACAAAAGCCAATTTGTAAATTTTAAGCTGTCATACACCTGTATTATAAGTGAACATACTATTTTAATGAATTTATCAAATAAGACTGGTGTGCTTGCTAGGTATAAAGCACTATTAAAAGTAGGGCATGAATACTGGTGAAAGTCTACAGAGGGAAGATCAAGAAACTAATTCATAACTACCTATTGGATATTTTCACCAATAAAGTACAAGTTTTTAGTTTGATTTTAGTGGTTATGTAAAGACGGTCTGGGGTCCTACCTGTAACAAAATTTCCCATGTCTTTCATTTCACACTAGAGAGCAAGGCTTGCAAATACATTTCCACATACTGGGCTGTATTGATCTGTAAGCTCCACCAAGCAGGCAGGCAGGCAGGCATCGAGTGTACTTTTTGTCTTTCTAGTAGCCCCAGTACAACATGGAGGAGAACAGGGCTAAGCACATATTCATGGCACGAATGAAGAATATTTATGGGCCTAAGACTTTATTAAAACAAACTATTGACATTGGGACTAGAAGACAAACTAGCAATCAAGTTAATATGCTTCAGTTAAACCAGTATTTGTTGAGCAACTATTATGAGCTGGTTCTGAATATCTACTCTAAAGGAAGTCTTAACCATCTTTTACTTAGTGAGTGAGTACTACCTCATGCTTTAGAATTTTCAAAGCCCTATCATACATATTATGACATTTGGTGTTTACATCCATATGAGATATATAACATTAATCAAATATATATTTCAAATAAATAATTGGAAGATATAGTCTACTATATAGTATCAGAATTAAAGTGTGCTAGCAATGTAGGATTTAGATCTGTGGGGATAAAAGAATTGTTAAGAAAGCATGGCTGAAGACATTATGTTAAAGTGAAGAATGCAGTTCATTTCAAAGCCCATCGATCAGGGGGAGTGGATCTTAATTTTCCTATAGAATAAATTGCCTTAAAAGATACTTGCTCATTAGGTCCATGAAAACGATAATTTTTTTTCACTGTATGCTCTGGATGACCACCTAGTACAAACTACATGAGCACAATGTCGTAAGGTTATATTTCTACAAAGACTGATCCAGTGACCCTTGTGAACTTACAGATGGAAAGCAGCAAACTACAAAGATGGCAGCTTTCCTTTACCACTTCATATCCTAAGCACTCAGTGTGCTCCGTCTTCTACTGTCTCCAAGGAAGTGGTTAATGAAGCCGTACGTCTTGAATGTTCTGATTGCTTGAAGTTTAACATATGCTCATAATGCAGGACCTGCCACTCATTTCAACAAAACACCTTAGAGTTGACATAACCTGAAAGGATTGTCACTATATTCCAATCAGAGAGATTTGCACATGCAGCTATCATAAAGGAATGTCATGTGTCAACTGAAAATGTCATAACACCCCAGGACACTTGCACAGAAATATGTCTCAGTTCCTTGTTCCTAGAAACTGAGTCAGGCTTCACAACAAGTAGTTTGTGGCTTTAGAAGTGAATCATCAAAAATGAAAATGTCCTTTGTTTCTGGCGGAAAGATTGGAGCTCACCTTCACGTCTGGTCTGGAGGGATAGTGAAATGTCACATTATGGAATTCAACTTCACCCTTGATTCGATCCAACTTGTAACCATCTTCTGACATGCAGTCAATGACTGATTGCTAGAGTGAAAAATAAAAGGGTGAATAGCAACAAGTTGTATCATACACATTCACTTTAAATCTCAGTTTGAATTTACTCAAAAAACAGAAAAACAACCAAGTAAAATATTGCAGATATGCTAACGATAAGTTTCTATCTAATTCAATATTGACTAATAATAGTAACAGTTACATTGTTGGTATTGTTGTTGAGTGCCATCAAGTCGATTGCGACTCAGAGAAACCCCACCAGACAGAGTAGAATTGCCCAATAGGCTTTTCTTGGCTGTAATCTTTTTTTTTTTTTAATTGCACTTTAGGTGCAAATTTACAAAGCAAAATTGAGTTACATTCAACAGTTCATGCACATTTGATTTCACAGCCTTGAATAGCATCCCCAACCATAAAAAAAAAACTCTCCTCCCCTCTCCTCCCTGTGACTCCCCCCTCCCTGTGACCTTCTTAACTATGCATTCTTGTCTGTCCAGCTTTCCTTCTATGTGAATGACATAGTGTCATTCTGGTGTCTCATGGCTGATTGATCTAAGGGGTGCATCTCCCTAGAGTAGTTGGGTGCATCTCCCTGGGGTAGGTGTTCTGTGTGTGTTGTTGTTGTTATGTGCCATTGAGTCGGACCCAACTCATAGCACCTCCTTGGGTTTCCGAGGCAGTATCACTATGGAAGTAGATTGCCCCATCTTCCTTCTGAGGAGTGGCTGACGGGTTTGAACCACCAGCCTTCTGGTTAGTAGTCAAGTGCCTTAGACACTATGCTACCAGAGCTCCTGTTCTGCATGTAGTTCTTTCTATTGTTGAGCTGAGAGTCAATCCATAGAAGTGAGTCCATTTCTAGGCCTGTAGGGTAAACCAGGGCCATAGTCTCAAGAGTTCCACCAGTCTATCTGACTAGTAATTCTGGTCATTTTGTGTTTTTGAATTTTGTCCCACATTTTTTCTCCCACTCTGTCCAGGATGTCCAGTGTTGGTCCCTTTCCAAGTGGTTGGCATTCATAGTTTTTCTGCTATGAATGCCATCTAGGCACCATCTAGTTCTTCTGCTCTCAGGGTCATGAAGGCTGAGGTTTTCGTGGTCCATTTTATCCTTGGACTAATTGTTTCTAAAAGTCTTTGATTTTCTTCACTCTTCTTTGCTCCAGACAAAAGGAGAGCAAAAGTTGTATCTTAGATGGCCACTCGAAAGCTTTTAAGACCCCAGTTGCTACTCACCAAAGTAGGCTGTAGAACAAGATTTTTGTCTACTGTGTTGTGCCAGTTGAGCATGATGTACCCCAAGACCACGGTTCTGAGACTGCAGGCCCAGTGATTCTCTCTCTCAAGGTGTTTGTTTGTCTCTGAGAAGTTATTCCAACTCTGTCTTCTGTTGTTTCTGGAGTGTATGTGGCTAATTTTGTAAAAATATGGAATGCTTCACAAATTAGTGTGTCATCCTTGTGCAGGGGTCATGCTAATCTTCTCTGTATCATTCCAATTGTAGTATATGTGCTGCTGAAGCAAACATTTGGCTGTAATCTTTATGGGAGCAGATTATCAGGTCTTTCACCTGTGGAGCCACAGGGAGGGTTTGTACTGCCAGCCTTTGGTTAGCAGCCAAATGCTTAACCACCTCTGTGATCTTACTATGTATGAAAGATAATGTACAAGACATTTTAATATGCATTTTTAATTCATGTAATTGTCAACATACCTAAAAGATGATATCCTCATTTTTCAGTTGAGGAAGTGTAGTTTCAGAGAGGTTAAGTATTTGGCCAACTCATCAGCCAAGCTGGGGTCCAATAATACTTCTCATTTGAGTATCTATTGTAGATTATTAAAATTTAGTTTCCTCAAGTAATGTCTTCAAATACCATTAATTTTCAATTTATATGCTTAGTTTCACCTCTGCTGTTGCTATTAGTAAATCTATCTAGGACTTAACCATTATAGTTAATTAGACAAGGGTGAGAATCACCTCCAGCTTCTAGAACACTCCAGGTCAGCTTCTTTCCTTTCCCACACTAGTGACAGAAATTCATCATAAAAGCTCTATTTGTGAGTATAGTATAACCTACTTTCTTCTTTTTAGGTCTCTTAAAAAGATATTAAGGAGCCAAGGTAATGCTGTGGGCTGCTAAGCAAAAGCATTGGGCTGCTAACCAAAGTGTTGGCAGTTTGAATCAACCAGCCGCTCTGTGGGAGAAAGATGAGGCAGTCTGTTTCTGTAAAGATTTGCAGCCCTAAAAATCTTATGCAGCAGTTCTACACTGTCCACTGCAAGTCAGTCAACGTGATGGAGGTTTTCTTTTGTTTTTCCCATAAAGTATTAAAATAATTCTGCACTTTATTTTTTGGTAATATTTCATAGGTTCAAGTATCTTATTTGAGCATAAGAACTCTAAGAATGAGGTAGCATTTGGATAGCTCAGTATTTTTATGTGGTTTTCAATAATCTTTCTTTCTTAAAAAAAAAAAAAAAAAGACAAAATATTTCTGAAACCTCAAAATACAAAGCAGATAAAGTGATGAAGTGTTTCCTCAGGCAGGTTACAGCCTCACGGTTTGGCAGAAAATATTCCTAACTCAGGGGTTCTATTAAGTACCTCTCTGGGTATCCAGGGCTTCTGATTCTTAGTCCAGGGCATTGTTTTCACAATTGAAGAGGGGAGATTGTCATCTTCCCCTTTCTGTTCTTGAATTTGGACTCACTAGCTTGACCTCAAACATGCTCCAATAAAAAAATCCTAAGCAAGCTGTCACACTTCAGAGATAATCCAATCTTAAGAACTTGGTCTTAAAGTCCTGCATGATTTGGCCCCTTCCCATCCTTCCAGCCTCCGACCTTCTTTCAGGTCCTTGAATTCTAAGAGGTCTCTGCTACCAATAACCATCTTGCACTTGCTTCCCATGTACCACTGACCCGTTGACTTCAGGTGGACTTTGACTCATGGAGATCCCATGTGTGTCAGAGTCGAGCTGTGCTCCAGAGGGTGGTCTCTTTTCAAAATTCTATGTATTTTGTTGTTGTTGTTGAAAAGATGCACAGCAAAATATACAGCAAATCAACAGCTTCTACATGTGCAATTTCGTGACATTGATTATATTCTTTAAGTTGTGCAACCATTCCCACCCTCCTTTTCTGAGTTGCTCCTCCCTCAGTAAATAAATTCATTGCCCCCTAGGGTTCTTATCTAATCTTTCAAGTTGCTGTTGTCAATTTGATTCCCTAGGGAGAGTTCTTGAAAGAGCATAATACTCAAGGCAGATATTTCTTACTAGTTAAATTATTGTTTGGTTTTAAGAAGACTTCAGGGGATATTTTTGGTTTAAGGGTTTTGATTTAGGGGTTTTCAATCTGGTGGTGTAATGGATAAGGCACTTGACTGCTAACTGGAAGGTGAGTGGTTCAAACCCACCAGCTGCTCTGCAGAAAGAAGATGGAGTGACCTACTTCCATAAAGATGTACAGCCTTGGAAACCCAATGGGAGTCACTGTAAGTCAGAATCTACTCAATGGCAGTGATTTTGTTTTTTAGAGTTTAATTTTTTTAAGTGGATCACCAGATCTTTCTTCCAAAACACCTCTAAGTTCACTTGAACCTCTAACCTTTAGGTTAGCAGAGCACTTTAACCATTGTACCACTCAGGCACTCCCTGAGCAGAGGCCTTATTTGCTCTGGTTCACTATTACATTCCCAGCTCTTAGAACTAGGTCAAGCTCATGATAACACTTACTAAGTATCACTGAATAAAGGGCATTATGCCAGCTGTTCATAATTTTTAACACTGGGGGTAAATTCCTGAAGGGTTCATTTCCTCAACCATCAACCTGCTAAACAGCTTTCATTTTGACTTTTACATACCTGGTCTATTGTCTTAAAAATACTGGTGGCAGCTGCACGTCCAGTTGCAAAGGCTTCTAAACAAGCAGATGCATGGCCAAGATTTAAAGCTGCTACTAAAACATTGAAGAAAATCTGAAATGAAAAGAGATAGAGTTTTCATGTAGTTTTTTTGTTGTTTTTGTTTTTTCAATCATTTGGGCCAGCCATGTGAGCCTGGAGTTTTCTCAGAAATATCCCTCCATAGACATTGGAAAGTGAAATGAATCTTTGGCTCTTTGAAATCTCCTGGAAAAATTTTTGATCTGTAAAGCATTTCTATTTTTCCCGTTGTTATGATTTAAAAGATTACATTATTTATGGCTGAATGTTGCTCTTCTATGACCAAAAAAAAAAAAAAAAAACATGTTTCATAATGAGTTTGAGGTCTATGCAAGGCAGTGTATAGTCACAAAATGGTTTAAAATACTGATATGGTACTTTAGTTCATTATATAAATAGTGTTATAATGGTTTTCTAGTTAAAAGGTGAAGGAAATAATAAAGATACTAAGTGAGCTTGACTGTCCTAGGGACTGGCACATCAATAGGAAGGGTACTGCTACTATTACTATATTACTAATAACAATAATAGTAAGTTGTGTTTCTAAATGTTTTACCTGTTTAACACCATTATAGCCTTAAAACAGAAAAGGAAACAGATGTATATAGAGGTTACCTAAATTGCCCTACATCACAACACGTAATAAGTGATAGAGCAGTTTTGAGCCCAGGCTCTTGACTGCCAGCTCCTAGGTGCACCTGCTGCTGGGTGCATACAGGTAGAGCACTCAGGTCCCTGTGCAGAGATGGTAGAGCTGTCCTTTGAATCACCAGCACAGCTTTCTCATTAAGTTAGGAAAAGCCTACCAGATCATGGCCAGATGTTCTTACCAAATAGCACACTGTTTTCATTAGTGCTGCTCATAAAGATGAAGAAGCAATGTGGCAATTCCTCAAGTTGCATCTTTTCCACCCCCACCCCCCTTGTCAACCAAAGGATAAGTCCTGGTCACATGACTCACATGGAAGAGTTTCATTAGCCACAGTGCCTTGGGGACTAGAGCTTTATGCTAAGGTAAAATTTGGCTCTTGCATGGATGTAACTTTTCTCGGATAATCAGATGATCCCAGTCTATGGTGGTCTCCATAGGCCAGACCCTTCCTGGTTATATTGGTATTGGGCAAATTACCACACAGTCTCCTCCACACTCTCTTTCTTCCTTGTGGCTAGAGTGGCTGGAGCATAAGGCTTCTCAGAGCCTCCCAACCATCTCCTTCTTTCTCTAGAAATAAACATGTCAGGATGGTTAACAAGACCAGTGCTGCTCCACACAGACAGTGGGAAAGCCCTTCACGTCTTCTCTCTGAATTCTCCTCCTTATGCACAGGCACAAACAACAAACATTATCTCTTCATCTGCCCTTCTTTTACCTTTTCCTTAGTTAGCTTTCTCACAAAGGTAGATTACCTAATTTTTCTAAACCCCAATTTCGTAATCTGTAATACAGAGATGATGATATTACATACTTTATAGGATTGTTATGAAAAGTAAATGAGATAATATATGTAAAGATGATTATTCCAGTCCTGTTTACATAAGTAATAGATAGCTATGATATGATGATGATGACAGTAGCAAGGTCTGACACTTGGAAAGTGGTGAAGGGAGTTCACAGAACACTTCTTAGGTTCTAATTTGGTTTGAGACCTCCTTCACCAGGGACCTTACTACCTGATCAAAGGAAGCTTTCCATATAAGTCTAGAGCAGGAAGCAAATAAGTGTTTTCTGTGAAGGGCCAGATAGTAAACATTTTCAATTTTGTGAGTCTTCTGATCTCCAAAGCAACTATTAAACTATGCTACTGTAGCACAAAACCATCCAGAGACATTTTGTAATCAAATGAGCACTGCTGTGTTCCTATAAAACTTTATTTACATAAACAGATGGCAGGTCAATCTTGTTCCTCCTGGCTTTGTGAGCCATTACTTCAACGGTATGCCTCTCTGAGGCTCTGAGGGGAATAGTAAGTGAGACAGGATAGAGTCACACACCTAATGCTATCATAGTAGTTAGAATACACCACTGGAGTCTATTGCTTTTCACCCCAAATGGACAGCAGCGTGGGACAGTCGTGTGAGAAGAGACAAGGGAAGAGAGCCTGCTGAGAAACAATCTGTTGGTGTGCTCTGCTGGAGAAAGGGTGTATGTGCTCCCCTGGGAGACAGATCCAGTGGCAGGAAAACAGTGCTTAATGAGTCAAGCCCCCAAGTCACAAAGACCTGAGTTCAAATCTCTTCTCTGTGCCACTTGACACACGTTTCTTAACTCCATAAGACCTCCATTTCATTTTTTAAGTGGTAGAATTATAATATTAAATGCATAAGAAAGTTGTATTACATGTGGTAATTATAGTTAACACTTCTCTTTGTGCACATTGTACATGCTAATTAATGTTAATTTATATTACTGTTGTTATTTTTTTATTTTTGAATTCTCCACCTTAAAAGGAGCACGAAAGAACAGCCTTCTGTGACATTCAGGTCCCCCTCATCTTTTTTTCTAACTTGCTGTTGTTGTTATGTGCCGTCGAGTCGGCCCCGACTCATAGCGACCCCTCCTTGGGTTTCCGAGGCAGTATCATAGTGGCTAAAGCACTTGCCTGCTAACCAGAAGGCTGGCGGTTCAA